ACAAAATAACAAAAAATATCAAAACTGAATAGCTAGTTTTAAAGCAGGGACTATAACTAATATAGTTAGTTCTTAATAATCCATGCCACAAAGAAAGGTGAATATAGACAATTATGGTCAAAAATAGAATCCTCAAATCCTGTCTGGAAAGGACTGTCTCCTTAGCCATCCATCACAGTGCAACTCACTTACACACCCAGTTTTATTTCTCTTTCAGTTAATAACTCACTAACCTATCAGAAAACATTCACAAAAATTCTGTGGAATTTTCTACAGCATTTAATCCCAAAGGTTCTGAATATACAAGAAAAAAGTATAAGAAGAAGATGGAACAGTTTATGGAGAGATGTGAACTCATAACGTACCTGGGTGATAAGATGACCAGACAATACAAGGAACCTCAGTTTAGAGCAATTGACTTTGATCATAAATTACAGACCTTTCTCTCCCTTAAAAATATAGACCCACTTAGTGGATAGTTTGCTTAGGTTTCCACAATCTGAATCTCAAGAGTTATCTCCAGGTGATAGAAGAAAGTTGAGAGAAAACTGAAAAATCTCTCCCTCTCTGAAGTACATTTCCTTCCCTGAGTGACGTTCCATGGTTTCCAGAATTCAAATGGACTCAAAGGTCTACTAGCCAGGAAAAGTTGCTCTTCTGTAAGAATAAGTTTGAATATAATTTTAAAGTGTATTGCTCCTTGCCTGAAACTTTGATGCTTTAACAAAACAGACATTTATTTAATTTCATTTAGGATATTTAAATAACCTATTTTATTTAATAAACTTATTTTCCTTTCTAAATTTTCAGTAGAAAAATCTGTCATGTTAAAATTACTCATATAAAATGTTAGAAAGCTTTGAGAAGCAAAATTAACATTGATATAAACCAGAAATTTTGTTTATACTTTTTACATAGGAGTTGTTTATAAACTTTGTGAACATAACACACTATCATTTTCCCGACAAAATAAATGGGTAATTTTGAAGTAACTGACTGTCTGCCTGCCTCTTTTCTTGAAGTTGAGAGCAAACTGAAGCATACTTTATATATTGTTTTGTAATTAGAAATCACCTGAAATTTTAGGAAAGATGAACTCTTATTATATGACATCTATCAAAATATATAAAATAGAGGAAAAATGTACTAATTGAATCTGAATGAGATTTTAAAAAATAAGGTCAATTTTTCAGCAGCAGTATTAAAAATCTAAAATATTAAATAGTAAGATTGGCTCTCTCAAAAATACAAACATTAATTATGTAACCAGTAAATCTTGAATTCTCTGAGTCTTAGTTTTTTAATCTCTAAAATCAATGATTTAGCTCCTTGATCCCTATAATCTCAATAAAGTTAATTAAAACTTGAAGCCTGTTTTACATATATTTTTATTATACATTTCATAATAAAATAATTTTTAAACAAATAGAAGCCTATTATCAAAGTTAGGATAACCTCAAAGCCTGGTTCAGGAGCTGGGGAGTAGCTGCTTGGAGCTACAAAGTTTTCTGTTGATGTAAATTCCACCCTCTCTTAACTCCCTTCCTTTACTTACTACCTGTAATTTACCATATTCCTATCACCAGACTACCTTCTGCTGAATTTTTCATTCTTAACAGGATACAGATGTTCCCAAGTTTCAGTCTATAGGTAAATTGAATTTCCTTTACAACACTTCATTTCTTCTTATGAAGGACACCAGTCCCATCAGAATACACCCAAGTGTTTCCTTGGACTTCCAGAGAGTATTTCACATGCTCAAGAGCGAGTCCAGAACCACGGGATATCAGCCATCTCCTGGGATCATGTTCTCTAATATGACTTCTGCTTCTTCCTGCTGATCCCCTGGCTAGAGCGGGAAACCTCCCACATTCAAGATAGGGCCAGTTTGGATTCCAAAGAAAGAAGCAGTATGCCAGGTGATCAGTCCAAAGCATTTATTAGAGGAACTGATGTACAGAAGGGGCTGCAGTGAGATAACGGGTATTCTACAGAGGTATTGCCACAAGGAAGATGTCAAGCCATGGTTTGTATAAGGTTTAAGGAATTTGGCTTAAGGCCCAGGTTAGTTTCTTTTAGTATTTAGGGCAACAGTTTAACTACTTTATCAGTGTTTGCTTGGATTCAAGCCTGTCAGGAAAACATGCAGCTGGACTAATCCTAGAGGCATCAAGACCCCCTGTGTTTCTCAGGACAGAATAAAAAGCAAAAGAAACAGAGTGTGGGTATGGGGGAGGGGCTACAGCTTCACCCTGAGAATTCTACAAATCCAAGAAATGTCTTCTGAGCTCCACCACCTTCATATGTCACAGTTCTAGAGCATGATCGATGGCTTCCTCCAGCCTTTAACTGCCAACTGATCATGACCCTCTCCTTCCTCCAGTCTCCTGCCTGGTTCTCCTGAACCAGTAAGGCACAGGGCTCTGTTGATAAAGTCTCCTTGAGTCCTTTCAGCCTTCCCAAGGTCAAATGAATTGGACAGGATAGAAATTGGATTGGGAGAAAAAAGAGAAAAACTCTGGATATTCCATTTCATCTACCAATATTCACTCTGTAAGTGATTTAACTTAAATGGTTCATAATCTATGCTCTGCTAATTCTACTATTATATTCTAAATTTCAACAGGCATGGTGGAATCCCAGGGGCTTGGAAGGGGCTGAAGGATCCCGAGTTCAAAGCCAGCCTCAGTAAAAGCAAGGCGCTAAGCAACTCAGTGAGACCCTGTCTCTAAATAAAACACAAATGGGGCTGGGGATGTGGCTCAGTGGTCGAGTGCCGCTGAATTCAATCCTGGGTACCCTCCCCCTAAAAAACACACACACAAAAAAAAGAAAAAGAAAAAGAAAAAGAAAAAAAAAACACGGTTGTGGCTCATTGGTAGAGCACTTGCCTAGCACATGCAAGGCACTGGGTTTGATTCTCAGCACTACACATAAATAAATAAATAAATAAATAAATAAATAAATAAATAAAATAAAGGTTCATCAACATCTAAAAATTTTTTTATCCCCAATTCCATTCTCAGCACTGAATTATGATTCTTTAATTCATATTGTATGTCAGATATGGCTATCTAGTTGACATCTCAAATTTAATTAATAGGTCCATCTTGTTACCCAATCCAACTCTTCTTCCTCCAGATAAATGAATGGTAACACTGTACAAATGATCTGGCCCCAAACCCAGGGTCAATCTTGATTACATTCTTTCCCTCACTCCTCCTATTGACTTTCTCAGTAAATCCTGTCAGACCCCCACCCCCACACCACCAAATACCTTGAATATGGGCTTTTTCACATCTTGCACTGTTCACCCTAATCCTTATGTCTGTACCCATGTCCCTCTAGGATCTAATCTTCTTCCTGCAGCTGGAGTAGACCTTAACTACATAAATCAGATTGCGCCAGTCTTTATGAGATCTTCCATTGGTCCCCATTTCAATTAAAATAAAACCCAGTCTTCTTATTCTTGGCATAAAAGACTTTACGTGACCTAAGCCTTTCTACCTCTTTAACATCTTCTCTATCTTTTCCTTTTCCTTTCTTTTGGATTGATTTCATTTCTCTACACTTGTCAAAGTTATGCATTCTGTTTCCATCCATTGAGAAGCTATCCTATTCTTTTAACAAGAATACACAAAATCTGAAGGTAATCAATCTTACCCTTAAAACATAGCATTACTGATACATTTAAATGGTATTCTCATTTAAAATTTTTATCTAGTTTGTTTACTACACCTAATTTGTAGATGCCCACAGTTTTTACTGCACCATTTTTATTGCAATCCTGTGGCAGCAAAAAATAATGGAGCAGCCACGTCTTGTACTGACCTCTGCTCTGCTGGCACGCAGAAGTCAGGGAGAGCTCCCACTATCCCATTTGGACCCCTACAAATCTGGAGGACTTAGAGGTAATGTGTGGCTTAAGCCAATTTTAAGAAAAACTAGTAACATTTAAGAGACTGGTAATTACATCTTCAGCTTCAAAATCATGAAGGCTGTAGATGGCATGCTGGAGATCTGGAAGTGGAGGGGAAAATAAATAAGCAATTCGGTATTAATAAAACATGAATCAAGAGGGAAAATGCTGAAATAAATCATTGGAAGAGGGGATGGAAATGGACTTGAGCTGGGCTTGCATCAAGAGCTTAAGCTTTATATCAAGAGCTTAAGCTTTATCCAGAGGGCATATGGGAGCCACAGTGGAATCTAAAGGGGGGTGTGACTCTAGTTTCTGCCTGTGATTTATACTTGGAGACACCTCCCAAATGCCTGTGTCTTACAGGGAACCACACTGCAACCAAGACTATGTAGAAATCTTTAACAGTCTACTGAAGAGAGATGATGAAAGTTCAAATAATAATATTTTTAGTCTCGGCAACCGTGAATTAAACCAGGCTTTTACTGAGCCCACTATATACTTGTTCTTGCTAACATCATGCCAATCCTACCAACGGGGCACTAGTGTTAATATCTCCATTTTAAGAAAACCAAGAGTGTGAGGATAAGTAACTTGCCCAGGTCTCTCAGAACCCAGGTCTGTTGGACTAGAGTACTATCTTCGCTCCCTTGGACTACAGCGTTGGAAGTGGGGAGGAAAGGGAGGCCGATGTGAAAAACATCTAGCAGGTAAATAATAGTTATAATATTAGAATTAGATGATGATGACGACGACGACAAGAATGAAAGGTAGAGGCGATTTCGGTCGTTTATCACACATTCGCACCCTTAATGCCAGATTCAGCGTCTGGGAAGAGGCAAAATTGATTATCGAAGCGTTGAGGAGCTAACGGTCCAATACCAGGAGAAACTCCGCAAAGCACAATTACAACACCTGTCTGGCTTTCTGGGCGGTGCCGCCCGCCCCGCCCGAAGAGGGGAGTGTCCTGGGCCACGTGGTCTGGCGTCCGCGCGCCGCGCTTCCGGGTTGGCTGCGCCGACGCAGAAGCAGCATCCGCGGCCCAGGAATCCTAGCTGCGGCCTGGGCAATCCGGGGCCGTGGCGGCCGGGCGTGGGGGTGCCCGCCTGGCCTCCAGGTAGGCTGGGCCGCGACCCGGACCGCGCCGGGCGCCCATAAGAGGTAGGTCCGCTGGGTGCCCGCGGTCCCTGAGCTGCGGAACCCGCGGCTGCGCGGACCCTTTCACGGCCGTCCTCCTGGCGGGCCCGCGGTTCTGGGCCTGGAGGCGGTGGCTGTCACGTGCCGTCGCTCCCGACTCTGCCGGGTTGGGACTGGCGCGGGTAATGGAGCTAGGGTCTCCGTGCCGAGCGCCGTGTGGCTCCAGCCAGGCCCTTCCACGTAGCGGTTCCGTGCAAGACCCCTTGTGGCTTACGTTGTTTTAACTTTGCAGCTTCTCCCAGATTCGCTTTGTACGCGTACATTTTCTTAGCTTTTTTTCATATTTCACAGGTGAAAAATAACTGATAATGTGCAAGATCAGGGCAGGTGTAGTTCTCACTACGACATTTGCGCATCCATAAAAGTTAGTGCGGGGAAGGACTTTATAGATGTTTGATCTCATTCCGTCATTTCCAGAGGAGAATGTGAGAGATTCAAAGGATGTTGGAAATTCACCCAGCGAGATCAGGTGCAACGGGAATAAGAACCCAGGGCTAAGTTTTTAAATAGACTTTAAAAAATAACAGCTTTTTTGAAATAATTAATGTGCCATAAAATTTACCCTTTTTATTCACATCAGTGATGCTTCATACATTTAGAGTTGTACAAACCTCACTACACCACCCCCAAACCTCTTTTTCCAGTAGTACTCAGTTCCCATTCATCCACCCCAACCCCCCACTACTTCCTGGAGGACACTAATATATTTCTATGGATTTCTCTATTCTGGAATGATTATTTCTAAATTTTTAATTAATATGTTAGTGGTGTTTTGTTGTGGCATATTAGTTCGTACATATAACATAGTTTGATCAGTTTTACTCCCCTTCACTTCCCATTACCATCCCTGTCCCTCTTGTTCCTTCCTCTTATCTGAAATACGGGATATAGATCTATATCTACTTATCTGATCATTTTGGTGCAATATTTCTGAGATGGAGGCTAAATATCTGTCTCTATTTATCTGATGATTTTATGCTATGTATTGAGCATCAATAACTGAATATGATAAAGTGAAATAATGATTATATGTTTAATTGCAAAAAAAAGTAGTAGTAAAGTTCATTAAACAATGTGAGGTTAATGCAGGTTCATATGAACCATTATTAGACAATGCTTCCTCCCTATTAAACATTGTCTTCTTATTTTAAATTTAAGCCTTCTTGACTTCTAAAGAAAATGGCAGAAACATCACCACAGCCTTCTGAACAGCTTGTTGTTCACTCAGATACTCACAGTGACACTGTCCTGGCCAGTTTTGAGGATCAGAGAAAGAAAGGCTTTCTCTGTGACATTACTTTAATCGTGGAGAATGTGCATTTCCGGGCCCACAAAGCCTTACTTGCTGCTAGTAGCGAATATTTCTCAATGATGTTTGCAGAGGAGGGGGAGATTGGCCAGTCCATTTATATGCTGGAAGGCATGGTTGCAGACACCTTTGGCATCCTGCTAGAATTTATCTACACAGGTTATCTCCATGCTAGTGAGAAAAGTACGGAACAAATCCTGGCTACTGCTCAGTTCTTAAAAGTCTACGACTTGATAAAGGCTTATACAGACTTCCAGAATAATCATAACTCCCCAAAGCCAACAACTTTGAACAGAGCTGGTGCTCCAGTCGTTGTTATTTCTAATAAGAAAAATGATCCTCCAAAACGGAAACGGGGAAGACCAAGAAAAGTCAATAGTTTGCAGGAGGGGAAATCAGAACAGGCTGCAGAGGAAGAAATCCAGCTAAGAGTGAACAATTCGGTTCAGAATAGACAAAACTTTGTTGTTAAAGAAGGAGACAATGGTGTACTGAATGAACCGATTCCAGTAAAAGAAAAGGAAGGATCTGACCCTGCTTGTGAACCAGGTAGAATGGAGGAGATGCCCACTGAAAAAGATGAGAACTGTGATCCCAAGACCCAGGATGGGCAGGACCACCAGAGTAGATGCAGCAAGCGGAGGATTCGGAGGTCTGTCAAACTTAAAGATTATAAACTTGTTGGGGATGAAGACGACCAGGCTTCAGCCAAGAGGATATATGGAAGGAGAAAGCGCCCCAGTGGTCCTGAGGCCCGCTGTAAAGACTGTGGCAAAGTCTTTAAATACAATCACTTTTTAGCAATCCATCAGAGGAGCCACACAGGTAATTACACTTTTGCAGCTTATTGCAATGCATTTTGGAATTTAGAATAGTAATGATAATAATAGCTTGTATTTACTGTGTACTGTGTGTCTTACATGTGACAGGCATTATAATATAGCCTTTGTACAAGTTACTACATGTAATTCTCATAGTAATCCTGCTGGGTAGGTAATATTATGCTTGTTTTACAGATGAAAAGACTGAGTCCCAGAAAGCTTGAATAACTTGCCGAGGGTCACCCATTTTGTAAGAGAGCTGGGATATGAACCCTGCTGACCTGATTCCAGAACCCCTCTTAATTGGAATAGTTGGTTCAAAGCTTTAGCCTCATCCAGTTATCAAGCTTTGGCCCCACTCGCTCTGCTTTGTGATTCTTAAACATTCTTCATCTTGACCAAAACATTCTTTCACTCAGTTCTGTGTTGGTAACTTTATAATTCAGCCCTCTAGCTATAGATGCTTTCCCCTTTTTGGTCCCTCTGGATGACAAAATGTTCTCTGTCTTCACTATGTAGTATAATGGCCACTAGCCTCGTGGGATTTTGGGGGGTGGGGTGTGGGGGGGGACTGGGGATTGAACTCAGCGGCACTCAACCACTGAGCCACCTCCCCAGCCCTGTTTTGTATTTTATTTAGACACAGGGTCTCACTGAGTTGCTAGGCACCTTGCTTTTGCTGAGGCTGGCTTTGAACTTGCAATCCTCCTGCCTCAGCCTCCCAGGGTGCTGGGATTGCAGCACCACCGCATCTGGCACTTCATAGGATTTTGAGCACTCAAATTATGGCTAATGTGACTAGGAAACTGAACTTTTAAATTTTTAGTTAATGAAAATTTGAATATCTACTATACTGTACTGTGCAGTGCTAGCCAGAAATCTCTTCCTCCTTTAAGCCTTCTCTCAGGTGCTTAACTCATTCTGCTTTGGGACAGGTTATAGTTGCCACTTATATATTCCTCACTTTAATTTTAAACTTAAATATAAGAACTGGTACTAAATCTTCTGTCATTTAGCAGCTTGCTGTCATCTGATGCTATGGTTCACAATAGCCACATTAGAATTGCCTGAGAGCTTATGTGCCTGACCCCTACCCCCAGAACTTCCTGTTTAATTATCTAGAACCTTGGTGTTACAGGTTCTTTTTTGTACTAGGTTGATTTTGTGGGAGGGTGGGAGTACCCAGGATTGAACTTGAGGTCACTCGACCACTGAGCCACATCCCCAGCCCTATTTTGTATTTTATCTAGAGGCAGAGTCTCACTGAGGTGCTTAGTGCCTTGCTGTTTCTGGCTTTGAACTCTCCATCCTCCTGCCTCAACCTCCTGAGCTGCTGGGATTATAGGCATGTGCCACTGCTTGCATTTTGTTTTTTTATTTTTTAATCAAAATACATATGTACATAGCTGAGCACAGTGGCGCATGCCTGTAATACCATGGTTTGGAAGGCTAAGGCAGGAGAATTGTAAGTTCAAAGCCAGCCTCAGCAAAAGCGAAGCACTAAGCAACTCAATGAGACCCTGTGTCTAAATAAAATACAAAATAGGGCTGGGGATGTGGATTAGTGGCTAAGTGCTCTGAGTTAAAAAAGATACAGATGTGTCTAATTTAAAGAGTTAAATCACACTCAGAAAAATGAGAAATTATACCCCATCTGATTCAAATGTATGATATGTCAAGATCATTGTACTGTCATGTGTAAATAATTTAAAAAAATACAAATTCTTATTAAAAAAATAAATACAGAGTTAAATCATTCTGTAATACTTGTTAAGGAAAAAAACAGCATGTAGGATCTTTCCTTTTGCCTTCAGGATTCTGGAACTTTAATGTGGATCTGTTTTCTTCCATTTTGTTAGATACTAGATAGATCCATACAGTTTAGAAACTCCTTTCAGTTTCAGAAAACTTTACTGAATTATTTCATAGATGATTTCCTCCTCTCTATTTTCCGTGTTCTCTCTTTCCAGGTGTGCTGTTTGCATGTTGAACCTCTTGGACCCATCTTCCAATTTTCTCATCATTTTGCTCATATGATGGAAACATCATTGTGTTCTGTACTTTAGGGAGAGTTCTACTTTATCTTTCAGCCCTTAGAGATTTTTCTGATTCTACTTTTATACTTTTTACTTCTAGAACCTCACCTTTTAAAATATTTTTAAAAAACTTTTTCTTCACTCAGGGCCGTCTGTGTTTTCTGCACATACCTTTTTTCTCTTCTTCTTCTTGTCTTGTTATCTGTCTCTGCTACTAAAGTCTTTCCTTGAATGCCTGCTTCATCATATGTTAGAGTAGGTTTCTAAAAGCATACCAGCCTTGCAGGTATGGAAAGTGCCTATGAAACAGTAGCCTTACTGGAGAAGTTGTGGCTGGGCCCTACTTCCTTAGAGATGCCTGGTGGGGCATCTGTAGCTCTCTTACCTCAGGCTAGTCACCTAGGAAAAAGGCCTTTACTTTCCTACCAGGAAGCACTAGGCCTAGCTGCTAGTGTCTGAGTAGCCTCTCATTATCCCAAATATATCCTTTAACCTTATCTCACCAGTGCCTGACAATCCTTAATCCAGAAACATTTTCTTTTACTGTCTTAGAAAATAATTTCCATCTTCTCTTGGCAGAGGGCAAGTGTCCTGCCTGTATGGAATAGGAGACTGGGTTTGGGTATCTTAACTACCTTTGAAATCGACTGTTCTTTACCCTCCCTCACTCCTGTGTTTAGAGATTACAGTTATTGAGCCTTTTGGAGGCTCTGTCTTAAAAATTTGGTTGTATCTTGTTGCTCTTCACTGCTTGCTTTGGGATTATCTCTTTCAGCTTCCAAACTTTATTGCCAACATTGTCTCTCCTGTAACACTGGTCTTTGGATATATGTCTTTAAGAGAAACTTCTTTATTATCATTTTAATTTGGGAGGGAACAGAAAGACATGCAGATTCTTGCTTACACCAAGCTTTTGGGGCTTTTATTCCAGGGGAGCGACCCTTCAAATGTAATGAGTGTGGAAAAGGCTTTGCCCAGAAGCACTCTTTGCAGGTCCACACCAGGATGCACACAGGCGAGCGGCCATACACCTGCACCGTGTGCAGCAAGGCTCTGACCACCAAGCACTCACTGCTGGAGCACATGAGCCTGCACTCAGGTAGCTGGGCTTGCACCAGAGGGCCACATGCCACCAGATTCCCATTCCTTGGGGTGGACATTGTTGGGATCTAAATGGTGTATTCTCAGACTGATACCATTTCCCACATGGTGTCATTGAAAGATTGAATTAGACCTCTGTCATAGTGCAGTTCAGATGAAGTTTTCAGAGTTAAACAGCACTGACCTTCAATTAGAGCTATAAACTGGCTTAGAATTAGCTTACTTTGAATGTCTTTGGGGAAAATTTGAATTCTCCAATTCTACACCAATCTCCACTTCTCTCTCTTGCCTTTATATACCTTTGCACATTTTAAGTTCCTGCTGAAAACTCTGAAGGCTTTTGGGTGTATAAGCAATCCATTTGTATCATTTACAGAAAATGGGAACCTGGACCCACTATGTTAGTTACCTTATTAGTGAGTGATTATTCTAGCTCTCTAGTTTTTTGCATGGTTCAAGTGTTTTATCTTTTATTTGGCAGGACAGAAGTCTTTCACCTGTGATCAGTGTGGAAAGTATTTCAGCCAGAAAAGACAACTAAAGAGTCATTACCGAGTTCATACAGGTACAATGACATAAAGTGAGAGAAAATTTAGATTAATGGAGAAAAAAATGCAAAGACAAATTGTTTCTGAAACATTAGGTTGATATCATAGAAGATAAATGGATATTTATGGGAAAAGTCTTAAAAAGGCAATCTACATTAGAGGTTGTTGTGTTATTCTATACTATGTGTGATTTAAATTTAATTTTTGTACCATAGTTTGGATGCCACACACAGAACCCCTACAGAATTGGTATCTTTTGCCACTTGCCCAAGAGGGCTTCAGTTGATAGGTTGTTAATGATGCCTAGAGAGATACCACCTATGGCAGTTAGTCCAGGCTTTCTCCCACCTGGTCTAGTCACTGTCCTTTTCTTTTTTTCTGTCAGCTGATAAGAAATGAAGGAGGGGGTAAGAGCATGATGCAAGATCAACTGGCCAGTCACTCTAGTGCTTTGATGGAAAAAGTTTATGCTTAGGAGGACTCAGAAGGTCTAGTTCTCTCAGGGAAACAGTGAGTTGAGGTACATAGGGAAATATTAACTGTTACCAAATTAATAAAATATATTTCTTGTTGTTAAAGTCCCATATTTAAAGTGATTATTTTTCAGGGAAGTGCTTTAACACAAATCACTGAAGAAATGCAGGGAGAGCATATATGCACTGACACTTTTTTTATTGTTGCGACAAGGCCACTCATTACCGGAATGCACCCACTGTCAACGCAAATTCATGGATGTGTCTCAGCTAAAGAAACATCTACGAACACACACAGGTAAGACACCTTCTCATTTATCTTCCTTAGTACACTTGGTGTTTTTAGCAGAGTGATGAATGAAGTTTCGAGTCCCCTCCTCAGCCTGTATTTGGGAATGTTTGTGTACATTGGATGAGATTTCTAAGTAGAACATTTAAAAGCCCAAGGCAGAATATTGTTAGCACTGTTCTGTGGGGACATCCCATCTCTTTGTAGTTAGAAAATGGAGATTACTCGATGGGCATTATGAAAGTTCATTTAGTTCCACAGAATAATACAAGTCTATTTCTGTGCTTCACTCTTAATTTACTTCAGCATTGAAGATGATCAAGATAAATTGTTTACAAAATAAAATAGAGGGAAAGTAACAAACACTGAGAAGTCACCACTTTCACCTCTGGAACTAGCACTTAACCACTTAAGCATTACCACTTTCTAAAAACACAGCTACAGGAATAAAGAGGAGGCAAATTGATTAGGTCAGGGTAGATTTTTTTTTTTAATTTAAGATTAGAAAAGTAAAACTGTGATTCTCTTGTACCTTTTGGTAAGGGGCACATAAGAAAAACTTGTTATTGTGGGGCTTTTTGTTTTTTTGTGTTTTTTTTCTGTAGGAGGGTACTGGGGATTGAACTCGGGGGTACTCAACCACTAAGCCACATTCTCAGCCTTATTTTGTATTTTATTTAGAGACAGGGTCTCATTGAGTTGCTTAGCACCTTACTTTTGCTGAAGCTGGCTTTGAACTCACCATTCTCCTGCCTCAGCTTCCTAAGCTGCTGGTATTACAGGCGTGCACCACTGTACCAGGCCTGTTGTGAGTTGGTTGATAACATAATGATTCTTATTAAATTGTACATTGAAATTATGTATCAGAATGGTTTATAGTGCTTTGGACTTTTCTTTTTTTTAACATTTTTTTTTTTTTTTTTAAGTTGTAGATGGACACTATGACTTAATTTTTATGTGATGGTTAGGATCAAACCCAGTGCCTCACATGTGCTAAGTAAGCACTCTACCACTGAGCCATAACCCCAGCCCCTGGACTTTACTTTTTAAATGCAGGTTGAATATCTCTAATTCAGAATCCAAAATGCTCCAAAATCCAAAACTCTTTGAATATGGATATGATATTTATAAGTAGAAAATTCCACACACAACTTTATGTGATGGATCGCAGTCAAAATATAGAGGCACTAGAAATATTGTGCAGAATATTTTCAGACTATGTAAAAGAGGTTTATGTGAAACATAAATGGATTTTCTTTTAGACGTGGGTCCCTTCCCCATAATATCTCATTATATATATATACAAATATTCTAAAATTGGGGAAAAGAATCCAAAATTCAAAACACCTCTGGCCCCAGGCATTTCTGAAAATACTTAGCCTGTATCAGTTTTCTTAAAGTCAATAAATTATCTCATGGGTTGTGAGTTTTCTGAAAATGGTGTCTCTATAGTCTTTTCACAGACACCATTCGTGGTTTCTGCAAAATTTAATTATCTATTCAGCACATATTTACTGAGTAGTTACTGGGTACCAGGCACTGTTTTAGGCCCTAAATGAGAGGGACAGAGCCCTGCTGGTAAGGGGCTAACATTCAGAGATAGAGAGCATAAGAGTGTGTAACGTGTTAGGTAGTGGTGAGTGCCATGAAGAAGTAAACGCAGGGTAAAAAGCAGTGTGGAATTGCTCTTTTATATAGGGACTGTTCTAGGAAGGTCTCACTGATAGAAGGTACCTTGGTTGGAGATCAGAATGTGGGGAACAGGCCAGTCGTTGTGGACATCCAGTCAGGAACATTCTAGGTGGGGACGGGACAGCAGGTAAAAGCCTTCAGACAGAAGCATTTCTGACATGATGTAGAAATGCCAAGAGGCAGGAGCTAAAGCGGAGCAGGGAATCTGGGAATAGGAGAAAGTGGTATACCTGGGCATTGGTACAGGGGTTCTCAGTTTAGCTACACACTTTAGTCACCTGAGAAGCTTTAAAAAAAAGAAAAGGCCTGGGCTAGAGCCTCTGAAGTGCCTCTCCGTGTTTCTTCTGTACTCACAGGCATAAGCACCTAAAGACCATAAAAGACTTTGAATTTTATTCCAAGTAAGATGCCTTTACCTAAAGGAATGAGATGACATGATTTTGAATTTTGCCCATTTTTGTCCCATTGTCCCATATGTGTAACACCTGTACAAACATATATACATAAAATATGAAATATAATTATAATAGGATAATTACAATAGTATTAATATTAGCTAATGTTAATACATAAGCTGTAAGTTGTTTCCAACCTGTTTTACAGCACTTGTGACAGTTTCACTGAAATGTTTTCAGAATTGAAAATTTTGACTTTATGGGTTAATAGAATAACTGCATCTGTCATATGGGGTGGGGTGAGTTAAGGCTGGAGGTGAAAACGCATCATAAGGTTGTTGTAATGATGAGGAGGTTGGCCCAGTGGGGCAGCAGTAGAGATGGCAGCAACTCTGAGAAGGTGTTCAGCATGTTTTGTTTGTGGTTGGATTCGGGAGTGAGATACGGAGGAGGCAAAAGCAACTGGAAGGAACAAAATCTGGGGCAGACTGGGAGGAACAGATTACAGGAGTTTGTCATGTCAGATCTGAGGGAAGCGATACAGGCAGAGCTATGAATGTGTGCACTTACACATGTGCCTGTAAATAGTGTGTGAGGTTACTATGGACTCCCCAGAGAACCAGATGGAACAGGGCTGAGGTGGCCCAGTCCTGTTGATCAGTGCCAGAGAAGTTTTGTCTCCTGAGAATGAGCCATAAAGCATCTGATCACTGTGAGTAGACCAGAAGTGAGGATGTAAAAAGGAAGCGAAGATCTTCCCTTATAATCCCTGTGAGCCCTTCATAGCCTGTCTACTTTGGAGAAGCAAAAGACAGTGGATGGTGGATGTGTCATTGGGGCGGGGGGGTGGGGTACACAATATAAAGTGTTTGGTATGGCCTTGAAACTAAGCCACTAACAAATTTGGGGCTCTCCGATGGCTGGGACTATGATCCATCTGTCCCCAGCACAGAGAAGCTACTTAATATGGTGTCGAAAAGCACCAATCAACCTGTTACCTGCGCTGGGCCAGGTTGAGCAGTATGGATCATGTCAGCAGAGCCATGCTCAGTTGGAAAACCTAGATTGACGTTCATATCTTACATCTTCAAGGGCAGACTCTCTCAGGGTTAGATGTTCTGCACCAAGCACTAGATAAGTCAGAGGCAAAATAAATGTATTTTATTCCCTAAGAGGGTATCCTTAGTGAGGGAGATGAACCTATTTGAAAGGAATGTCAGGTGTCTGGCAGATGGTCGGTACTGATGAGTCAGCCAAAGGGAGAGGATGCCTGGCTTAGGCTTTTGTGTTTGCATCTGTGCTTGTCTCTGTACCTGGAGCTGTGCAGGCTTATTTGGATCAGTTGAAATCAAGCAGATTCACAAAACTGGTAGGCAGTGAATATATGAACAAAGGGGCTACATCTTCCTGACATCAGGGTACACAGAAACCATGATAGTGATCTAAAACTTCTTTGGTTAGCTGGGGGCAAGTCAAGGGAATTATCCCAAGCAATGGAAAAGCCTGGTGTGAGGCATTTCCAACTCCATAGTGCAGTCCTACTCCTCATGCATCCCTGTCCCTTGGATGGTGTTAGGTACTAACACTGGTTCTACACTGCAGGCTCCCACTCACCTGTGGATGGCCCTTCCTAGTCACCCATAATAAAGTTTATTAAGTCATAGTTTTCATTCAGAGCCTCATTTGCTTGGGTTGGATTTGAAGCTACCTCAGTCTCCTCAGTTATATGTTAAGATGGTCCATTAATGTTGCTTGTTCCCATCTTCCTGAGAGCTGGGGCTTCTCACCACAGCATGTTTTTACAGTGTCTACATGCTGTCTATTAAGAAACTCAAGACAAGCTGGGTGTAGTGGCACACACCTATAATTCAAGCTGGTGGGAAGGCTGAAGCAGAAGGATCACAAGTTTGACACCAGTCTAGGCAGCTTAGTGAGACCCTGCCTCAAAAAAATTAAAAGGGCTGGGGATGTATTTCAGTGGTAGAGTGCCCCTGGTTCACTTCCGATTATCCAACCCACCCCCCACACACACCCACACACAAAAAAGGAGACGATGACGAGTATCAGGACAGTGCAGTAGAGGTCTGAGCACAGAGAGGATGGGTTACATCCCCAAAAGATCTGGGAAAGCATCCATAGGAGAAACCTAGACCAGGAAGCCAGAGCATGTTCTGAGAGCAGAAAGAGGCATCTGCAGACAGGAGCAGGGAATGCTAAGCTTGGGGATATGAGAGCCTAGCATCCAAGAGTAGTACAAGAAATTCTGCCATGCATATGTGGGATGGGACTGCCAGACAGTGGGCAGACCACCATGATGGCAAGCATGGAGTAGCTTTTAAGCAGGGAAAAGGGACATTTTTATTTGTGTCTTTAAAAGGACTCAGCAGCCCCAAGAGGGACAGGTCTGGGAATGAGCTGGTTAGCAGGCCCTAAGAGTGATGAGGACTTGCAAGTCAAGAGAATGGAATGAAGAGACATATTCAGGAGATTTTTAGTTCCTACATATATGATAAAGTGTTAATTTACCAAATAAGAAGTGAGTACCCCAGTAAGAAACTGGGCCAGGGATGTGCGTCAGGGAAGACAGTGTAGGAATGGCAAGTAAACCACTCTAAAACCCTATTAATCATCAGAAGAGTAGTGTACATGGTTTTTGTCCATTAGATTAGCAAATACATGAGTTAATGGACATCTCTATGTATTATTGGTGGAAATAAAATTTGGAGGCTTTCTAGAAAGAAATTGGCAATATTTATCAAAATTTTAACTGTCCAACTGTGAAAAGATGTTTGTATAAAGATATTGATTATAAGCAAGATTGACTATAATGTCACAAACTTAAAAACAACCTAAATGTCCATCACTAAAGGACTAAGCAGGTATGTTTTGGATAATATACAGAGAACTACAATACAACCTTTTAAAATGTGGTATGGCTTTACTTGAAAGAATAACATTGTACTGGGTGTGAACTTTGTACTTCATGTGCATATGCACCAATGGATTTGCATGTAAAGGTGTTTATCACAGTGTTGATTGGTTATGGAAGAGAGGAGAATGTGGAGCACTTTATGCATTCTTTGTACCCCTCAATATCATTTGAATATTTTACAATGAACTTAATTTTTGTAAGAAAAAACAAGACTGTGTTCCACTTGTGAAGCAGGATTCTCAGGAGGGAAAATGTATAGGACTGAATTGCTGGTTAACATGGCAAAAAGAGAACTGGGAGTATCACTGTGATTGTTGTGCCTGGCTGGGACAGGGATTGGGTGGTGCTGCCATTAACCAAGAAAGCCATCCAGGTTTGCACTGATGGCAGGGGCAAATCCACTGAGGTCCAGTAAATATTGAGTAAAAAATCCTGTATGGAGCCCAGGCCTGGGTTTATAAGTCTCCCAGCTGGGTGCAGGGGTGGTGGATTAGCCAGCTGAGAGGAGGCTCCGAAAGGATCCCTGAGCTCCCTCCTTCTATCAGTGTTCCACTGGAGGAGCGTTTAGTCATACTTGTGTCTCTGCCCTTAATTTTAATCAGTGTTGTCTAGTTCTCCTGTAACAAACTTCCTTCTGGTCCCACTCCCTAAACTTAGGCCCTGTCATCTCATCCTTGTCCCTCTCCATTGGCCTCCTGCCACCTTCTGGCCCAGGCCTCAGCACCTTGTATGTAGAATATAACAAGAAGGTTTGCTTCCAGCTTACGGTACCCATCATTCCCATACTTAATTTATAATACTTTTGGCATGTCATCATTCTACTAAAAACCTTCAGAGGCTTAAAGGTCCTTTGTCTGGAATTTATGGCTCCTCATGGTGTGGCCTCATCTTTTAGCTCTACCACTCCCCAGGATGAATTCTTGTCCTTCTATACCACGTGACCATTTCCAACACAAGGGTTTTGGTCATACCATTGATATCAGGGCTTCTCTCCAGTTTGGCCCGATCCTGCCTCCACTAGCTTCCACTATCCTGTCTGGACTCAATATTGTTGATACCGCTCATTTGATCATACACTCAAATACAGCTTTGCCTTGCTTATCTTCTCAAATAGACTATACATCCCTTTTTGAGATAGTGATCATGCTTTTTTTTTTCTGTTTCTTAGCTCTGAACTTTGTTGATGGTCTATTAGTATTTCAAAAATTAATAAACTTAAAACGGAATTGGTCATTTGTCAAAGGTGGCAGAGCTGTACACAGGGAAATCAGGGAGGCAGAAGACTTTCATCAGTGCCGTGGTTTGAATGTGTCCCCACATTCCCCAGAGTTCATGGGTTGGAAACTTAATGGCTGATGCAATCATTTTAAGAAGTAGGACCTTGTGGATTAATGCCATTATCACAGAAGCAGACTCCTGATAAAAGCATCCATTTGGCTCTTCTCCTTTTTCTCAAGTGTGCTCTTGCCTTTCCACTTATTTTTCTTTTTTTGCAGTACTAGGGATTAAACCCAAGAGCACACTTACCTCCACCACTGAGCTATATCCTCAGCCCTTTTTTTAATTTTTAATTTTTTGTTAAGGTCTTACTAAATTGTGGAGGCTGGCCCTGACCTTGATCCTTCGGCCTTAGTCTCCCAAGTTGCTGGGGTTACAGGCATACACCATCTTGCACTTTTCTGCCTTGTATGAGATAACACAATAAGAAAGTCCTCACTAGCTGCAAGTCTCTTGACCTTAAATTTTTCACCCTCCAGACTGTAAAAAATAATTTTTTTTATGAATCACCCAATTCTCAGGTGTTCTGTTATAGCAACACAAAGTGAACTGTGACATTCATATTCATACTGGCTAGGAAAATTTGTCTTATTATACTGCTCATTCCCTCAAAGAGCTGTAGCTGCAAAATGTTGTTTCTGGAAAGAATTCCCATTAATTCAAATGATTGCTTGCTCTTAAAAATAATGTTTGCTGGGGCTGGGGATGTGGCTCAAGCGGTAGCACGCTCGCCTGGCATGCGCAGGGCACTGGGTTTGTTCCTCAGCACCACATAAAATAAAATAAAGATGTTGTGTCCACCGAAAACTGAAAAATAAATATTAAAAAAAATAATAATGTTTGCCAACAAATTTTCTGAGATAGAAGCCCAGCTGAAATTGAAGGGTAAAATTAACATTGTTATTTGTGTTTCTGACACAGAACTTTAAAATCACAAGCAAACAGAACAGGTACTCGGTCTTTGAATTTAATTGAGAGGGGGAAAACCAACCAAGATCAGAGTAGACTCCAGCTCTGATTTAGAAAGTGGCCTGGTCTTGATGCAGTTGGGTGTGGTGGTGCCCCCCTGTAATCCCAGGAACTCAGGAGACTGAGTTAAGAGGATCACAAGTTCGAGACCAACATCAGCAATTTAGGAAGACCCCGTCTCAGAATAAAAAATAAAAAGAGGTGGAGAGTAGTTAAGTGGTAGAACACCCCTGGGCTCAATTTCTAGTAGGGGGAGGGGATGGAGTTAATGATGCAAAGATGCAGATTTATCCAGTTAGTAACAGGTGTCTTTTCCTTAAGTGCAACTCGGAGAATTGTCAAGCCTGAAAGGGAAGCTAAGGGACCATCCTCCCTTAAAATTGCACTTACCCTTGCTTTTCTCCAATTGAAGTGGGATTTTGTTGCTTCATGTATGTATATGCTTCATACATGTATACTTTGTTGCTTCGTATATGTTTATTTTATATCACATAAAATATGTATTTCTGTCATCTACATTAGAAACAATTTTGTTTCTTGGGGGCACAGTGTGTTATTATGTTAGTGCAAACTAGCACTGAATAAACACTTGTTGATGTTAATGAAGCAGAGTAGGGTTTGAACAGTCATACTGTCTGATGTGGGCCTTAGTTCACCCATATAAAATTCAAATATTCATCAGGGATTTCTGAAATAGAGAGCAAGCCCAGATCCTAGGCACTGGGGACTAGGAGTAGATAAGCTCACAGATTTTCTTACATAACAAGGGAAGAGATAGGTAATAAGTACAGTGTATAGCATATGAGATGATGGTAACATTATGGAAAAACTAAGTCAGGGAGTGGATCAAGGAGTGTACGGTGGTGGTAGTCGTGGAGATTGTGGTGATAAAACCACTGATAAAGCAGCACATGAGAGATGAGGTGAGTGATACCCCTGAGAGAGATCCTGAAATGAGCTCAGGGAGATTTGGAGCCAGGAAGATGTGTGGGAAGGTACAGATCTGTGATCCCTTTGTAGGCCAATGGTTTTCTTGGCTGTTACCTTGGGATGGTGAGCCATTAGAGCATTTGTAGCCCCAGCTTGGAGTGATCTGACTCTGTACCAGGGATCACTCTGGCTGTTGCATTGACAATAAGTGGCAGAGAAACAAGAGGCCCTTTTGGAGGTTGCGCTGTGATCCAGGAGGGTTAGTGGCAGCACACATCCAAGGTGGCAGCTGAGGAAATTATCCAGGAGGGATGGTATGGCACAGACAAGTGGCAGGTCAGATTCTGGGTATATTTGAAAGGTAGATATGCCTGTGAATAATATATAAGCCACCCTACTGCACAGGAGTCCCTGCAAAGGTTATATGGGCTACCTAACCAGCAGTAAGGTAGGAGTGTAGAAAGCACTATTAGAACTAAGAGTGGAAAGTATAGGAAAAAATATAGTGAATTCCTTTGTTTCCTGTATGTAAACATGACCTCCTCTTTTGGTTTTGAGGTGTTCAAGGGAACAAAGCACGCCTGCTTCCTCTGCCTGCTCTTGACACTCAGCTTCATGTGGGGTGCAGAGCAGTTGCGTTGTTGTGCTTTCTTCCTTCTTGCTGACTGCATTTGTTCTTTTCACATTGTGGAACCATGAAGTGGTTCAGAGTTTTTTTAAATGCCAAATATCTATTTTTATATGTTTCCCTTTTCTTAGGTGAAAAGCCATTTACTTGTGAAATCTGTGGCAAGTCTTTCACAGCAAAGAGTTCTCTTCAGACCCACATCAGAATTCATCGGTAAAGTTCTGCAGATATTTCTATAGTGTTGTTCTTTGGGATGACATATTACCTATATAATCCTGGTCCCCAAATTGTGACTCTGGTGGTTTGTTATTTTGTTTTATCTTTCCTTTCTTTTTTTTTTTTTTTTTAATTTGCTTGTTTTACCTTCTCAATAATGAAATTCCTGGCAAAATTAGCAATACTGATGCTGACCAGTAAAAATTTGCATTGTTGATTTCATTTATTTAATTTTTATTTTGAATTGGGGGCTAGTCCAAAACATGAATCTTCGATTAAAAATAAGCATTAAATTCTAATTTTTTTCTGAATGTTTTACTCACAAAAATTACATTAATCGTGTGTACCTATTTGGACATTAGAGTCTAAAAAATGGCTGTAAGAACTAAAACAAAACTATGTATACAGCGTAAATACTTTCTTATCTGAAATATGTACAATGGAATCATAAAATTTTATTACATCTAGCCCAACCCCATCTACCACCTTACCTCAAGCACCACACCCATCCCTTGTTTATTTTTTTCTCAAACGTTTTTTAATTTTTTTTCAGATTAGAAACTGAAGCCCAAGGAAATGTAACTTGCCCTACATCCTTAGTGGGAACCCATGGTTTACGTACAACTCAAAGACTAGGCATAACTAGCCAGGAAGTAATAAATAGATATTTCTGTTTTAAAGTAAAATGTGTGTTTTCTTGTAGAGGAGAAAAGCCATACTCCTGTGGCATCTGTGGCAAATCCTTCTCTGACTCCAGTGCCAAAAGGAGACATTGCATTCTGCACACAGGCAAAAAGCCTTTCTCCTGCCCAGAGTGTAACTTACAGTTTGCTCGCTTAGACAACTTGAAGGCTCACTTGAAAATCCACAGTAAAGAGAAGCATGCATCAGATGCCAGCAGTGTTTCTGGTAGTAGTAATACAGAAGAGGTCAGAAATATTCTTCAGCTACAGCCATACCAGCTCTCTACCTCTGGAGAGCAGGAGATTCAGCTTCTGGTAACTGATTCTGTACATAACATCAATTTCATGCCTGGTCCTAGTCAGGGAATCAGTATCATGACTGCTGAGAGTTCCCAGAACATGACCGCAGACCAGGCTGCTAATCTCACCCTGCTCACACAGCAGCCAGAGCAACTGCAGAATTTAATTCTTTCAGCTCAGCAGGAGCAAACAGAACACATTCAGAGTCTCAATATGATTGAAAGCCAGATGGAGCCCTCACAGACAGAGCCAGTGCATGTAATTACACTGTCCAAGGAAACCCTGGAACATCTTCATGCCCATCAAGAGCAAACAGAGGAGCTCCATTTAGCGGCAAGTGCTTCAGATCCAGCTCAGCACCTGCACCTGACTCAGGAGCCTGAATCACCACCACCTACTCACCATGTGCCCCAGCCCACTCCACTTGTCCAGGAGCAAAGCTGACCTGTGAACACGTTTGACTGCTCCAGCTATAGCAGGATGGTAAACTCTTGAAATCAGGCTCTCTGAGCTGACAACTTAGGTTCTTAAAGAAATGTGATAGCCATAAGATGTTTATAATGTGCTCTGTCTGGGCAGCTAAACATGTTGTGTGTGTGTGTGTGTGTGTGTGTATGTATGTATCATGTTTCCTCTATAGTACCAATTTGAGTTTAGCGTTTCAAATAATGATAAATGGTTTTCATTTTCATTACAACATCTCTTAAAGAATAAGGTAATTTTTCTTTGAGGTGTTGATTTAGGCTTTTTGGTAAGTATTAAAATGTTCACCAACCAAAGGTTATGGTCTTACTGACCTTTCCAGTATATTCTTTATTCTTCAGAACAAATGAAGTCATATATAGATTGAATTGGGTAAAGCAGTTGCTTCTACTCCTTTATTTCTCTTAGGCAACACAGTTGCCAGTCCAAGATAAGTCAGGGCTAAATATGACAAATCACAACATTTAGTTGATCCCCTAAGAGTAATTTTTATTTTTTTCTATACTAAGCATTGAACCCAGGGCCTCTCGAATGCTAGGCCAGTACTCTGCCACTGAACTACATCTTGTCCCTTTTTTTTTTCCTTATTTTAAGATAACATCCTACTGACCTAAACTTGCAGTCCTCCTGCTTCAGCCTTCTTGAGTAGCTGGGACTACAGGCATGTAACCACCATGATGGTAACAGTAATTGGACATTTAATCTTTGTGTGGGACAGTGAGCTAACCATGCTTAAGGTATATTCAAGCCCATATAACCTGTATTCATAACTCAAAATCATAACAATAAAGCCAAAAGTATACTTTCTTTAAAATTCTGAATTCACATTTTTTGGAAAATACAGACTTGTGCGTTTTTAAAAAGCAAGCTATTAAAATTTTAATTAAAAAGTTAAATATGAAGTTGGATCAAGGCATTCACCCTAAAAATAAACTGAATTTTGTCAGAAATGATAGTTGATTTTCATTATGTGGTTAAAGGTTTTTTAGTTATCCTAGAAAATTTTACTCAAGTGTAATTTGTGTTAAAGTTACTGATTTCGCATTGATCTATGAAAGTACTGATCTGTGTGTTGTGTTCGATACTTTTCTGGAGACACAAACTTACGATCTATTTTTATTGCAGACTAGGTTAAGTCCCACAAAATGGCCACATCATTTTTAAAAGTATATCTTTTTCTAATCTTAAAAATAATTTGAGGGACTGGGGATGTGGCTCAGCTGGTAGCGCGCTCACCTGGAATGCTCGGGGCGCTGGGTTCGATCCTCAGCACCACATACAAATAAAATAAAGATGTTGTGTCCACCGAAAACTAAAAAATAAATATTAAAAATAATAATTTGATTCTCGGACCCTAAGCCAGCTATGTCTATAGTTGTGTGATTTTAAATAATTTTTCAAAAGATAATATTATATTTGAATTAGGTTTTCAAGTTCAGTGTATTTAATTGAAGTCTTAACTGCTTTCTGTCACATAAACTGGTAAGGGATTTTTAAGAAAAGAAGTTGGGTTTTAGTATCTCTAGTTTAACATAATGATGGTAGAAAGAAGACCCAAAATTAATAAGACTTCACATCAGTTGTTTTCTTGTTCTAACTCTTTTATTTTCACCTGAATCCAGTAAGTTCTTTGGAGGGTAAAGTAATTGAGAATTCTTGAGGTTTGAGAGATAATGAAAATATTTTTGTTGCTTACTTGTCAAAGTTATATTTTATAATATATATAATTAATAAAAGTTCCAAAATTATATAATATGCTTCAACCAAAATATTAGATTGGGCCTGACTGGAAAAAAGGTATAATTTTTACAAATACTTTCACTACTATTTCAGGTTCTTGATTTCCTCATTTAAACTATGTATTTTGTTCTTAAAGGGGTTTGTTTTGTTTTGGTGGTTGTGTGGACAGAATATCTTTACTTATTTTTTGTGGTGTTGAGGATTGAACCCAATACCTCACACATGCTAGGCAAGTGCTCTGCCACTGAACTACAGTCCCTGCCCTGTTCTTAAAGTTTTTAACCAACTTTTCAAAGTCTTCTCATCCATGGTTTTTCCTGGGAATACATAGTTTTAAAGTAGATGAATGTCTATTTACTCTGGATAGTTAGGTAATTATTCAGAAAATATGATTACATGATTGTTTATTATTCATTTATTTATTTGGTTTTGGTGCTGAGAATTGAACCTATGCTTGAGAGTGCTAAGTATAAGCCCTGAGTAAATTTACATGTTGTTGAGTTACACCCCAAGCCCAGGATTTATTTATTTAATTTTAAGATTTTTTATAGTGCTCGGGATATTACTTAAGACTTTGCACATACTAGGCAAGGTCTCCACCACTGAGCTACATACCCAGCCTTTTTTGTTTGAAACAGTTGTCTCACTGTTGCTGGGCTAGTCTTGAATTCTTGGGCTCAAATGATCCTCCTGCCTCAGCCTTTCAAGAAACTGTGTAGCTGTTTAGTCAAGTTTAACTAGCTTTATAACCACCTACTTCTGCACTAAGCAAAATATAACTGAGCCACATAGGTAATTTTAAATTTTCTAGTATTCACACTTAATACAAAGAAATATGTGGAATTCGTTTTAATAAAATTTACTTAATCCAGTATTTGCCAAATATTTCAGCAGACAATTAATATAAAAAGGTATTAGTGAGATATTTTGCATTCTGTTTTTCATGCTGAGTCTTCAAAATCTGGTATTTTATAATTCCTGTACATCTTGATTTGGATGCTAATGTTCAGTGGATAGTACTTGATCTGCATTTAGATTTTATATATTTTACAATGGAAATCCTAGACTCACACACCAAGTAGTTCCAGCAATTTTTTTTTTAGTAACTGAAACAAGTGTCAGTTTATAATTTTCTGTTAAAATTAATTAAAGTTAAAATCCACTTTTCAGTTGCAAGTGCTTGATAGCCACATGTGGCTAGTGGCTCCTATTATGGACAGTACAGTCCTATTTCTAGGTTGGGATTCAGTCCTGGCCATAACTAGATTATCTGACCACCAGTCAGGAAAATGAGAAAGTGACAGCTTTGTCAATCCAACCTCCCTTTGTGTTCCAAATATACATTCTGCCCCTTTGCATGAAATCCCTTTTTTTAAAATTTAGTGATTTCTATACCCAAATTCTATGACCTGTTAATTCAGAAACTGGCAAGGGGCAATTGGGGAGGGGGGGGTGTGAGAAAAAACACAGAAAAAGCAGGGACCAAGTGGGACACTGTCCTCTGATGGAGAAACAGTGACCCAGAGCTAGCTCAGCATGTTTATTATATAGATTTTATCATCTAGAGGTTATTTGTGGGAAAATTCCAGTAAAACAGACAGACTTGAAGGTCACAGAATTCTCTAAACCTAGGAGGTGGTGCCTGAGCTCAAGGTCCAGACTGATATAACTGTGCACCTTTGCATAGAGCCTCCCCAGGCCAGCCATCACCATAGCAACTAGGCCGTCTTGACCTGCACATTTGCACAGGAAGTTCCCAGCACAAACAGCCATGAGGCAGTCAGAGACCATGGTTCAAGTCATTACTCTCCATACCCAAATAAAATGGGTACACAAAAATGCTTTTCATAAGTCCCTGAGTATATGACTAGCATAATGTTTCGCAATTCATTTTACACTAAATGTACACAACTTTTTAAAATTGTTATAACAAGTATAGAAATATAGCATGCATTTCTTAGAAAGAGAATGTGTTTGGAGGCCACTGAAACACATCTGGCTTTGAAATGAATCTTTGGTTTTCTCTTAAGAGAGTTAGCGTCAATCCAACCTCCCTTTGTGTTCCAAATATACATTCTGCCCCTTTGGATGAAATCCCTTTTTTTAAAAGACTCAAGTGCTTACAATGGAAACAAAATTATTCATGTGCTTGCCTGTTGTTTCTCAAAACTTGTTTCTACTTCTACTCCATATATTTTCCACTAATGATTCTTGTGTTGATGTGACCAACAGGTTAAATGATGCTGAGGGATTAAGGGAGATTTACATTATAGCTGCTTACATATGGTTTTTATGAATTGGAAAAGTATCTGCTACATGTGGAGTCCTTACTACAGGCCAGGAGTGAAGCCAGGTGTGTTAGGTCTAGATCCTATCTTAGTGCTTCTCAAACCTTTTCCATTTTATGACACACAGTATTTTTAAGGCACCTTTTGGTTTGAGGATTCCAGTCCTCTCTGGCCATGACTGACGACGTATTAGTTTTCCTAGGGCTGCTATAACATGTACCACAGACTAAGTAGTGTCAACAATAATTTATATTCTTACAATTCTGTAGTTCAGAAATTTGAGATTAAGGTGTCAACAGGGTTGGTTTCTGTAAGGACTGATGTCCTTGTAAAGGAAAAAATTTGGACACAGGCAGAAGGACGACTATGTGAAGACATCACATGTCTGTTGGATCAGCCCATCCTGACGACCCCATTTGTGATTTAACCTCTGTAAAGGCCTCATTTCCAAGTATAGTACACTCTGAGGTTCTAGGATTAGAGCTTCAGCATGAATTTTGGGCAGATGAAGGCAGAGACATAATTTGGACCTTACACCAGGTGTCTGGGGTAAGAAAGGGAGCCATGACTAGGACACACCTATAACCCCTTAAAGCAGGTCTTAATCTTCATGCCATCCATGTGAAGTAAGTAGTATTGTTATTGTTATGCCCATTTTACAGATGACAACATTGAGGCCCAAGGAGATGATGTCTGTTGCCCAAGGTTATATAGTAAGTGGTAAAGCCAGGACTGAGGCACAAGCCTGGCTGTTCCCACAACCCTGCTTCATCAGATGGGTTTAAACTAAAAGTGAGGGTCTGTGTCTAAAATTTTATCATGTAGTTAAACTTAGCTAAAACATGAAAGTTACAGTCAATGGATCAACTACCATTTTAATAATAATCACATTAATATTTCACTATTGACTTAATCAAAATTTACCAAGTGAGTGAAAGTTACTACCAAAGTGAAAATGTCTTATCTAACATGAACCACTATAAGTGAGTCCTTCTTTCAAACTCTTAGGAAATTTTAAGTTTAGGACAGATTTGTAAAGAATTAAGGTAGATTTTTATTCTATTTCCAAACTTAAGCCCAAATCCTTATGAACTGAAAACGCTTTGTCTTTCTTTTGAAAATAGGAATGAAGGAATGACCTCTAAAATATCCCGCTTGCCTGCCTTTGGTACATGGCAGTATAGAGGCGTGACCTCTAAAGAAGCTGGGATATCATTGTGATAATTAATCTTGCTTTCAGGTTGTTTATACATAATTAAGCAGCAAAGATTAACTATAATATTCATGTCCTTCTCCCTGGAAAGTTACATTAGGAAAACATTCAGTCATTTTCAACATAAAATGTAGGAACTTCACCACATGTAGGTAACCTTTAGTAAGGAATCTTAACTTTTTAAAAGTTTTCTGAAAAGTGATACTATATTAAATGTGAAGTGTGGAAGAGGGAAAAATTGGAGCAGGAATCAGAAGCAGTGAGATTCTTGGATCCTGTATTTATTATTGATTTTGAATTCTTAATATCCATAATA